TATATATATTCAGTAAATATACTGTTCCAAAACTCTTGTATAAGTGTATTTCACCTAAACACACTCCAGTTACTGCAGGATGTTTGGAGCAATAGGTGCAGGGACATAAACCAACACTGGAAGCACACACGGGTGCAAACACACTCATACTGTAGACTTGATGTATAAACTCATGGGTCCAAACAAACAGCTATCTGTTAGACAGGAAGGAACATACGACACGAGTCACATCACACAGACTCCACGCATACTATATAGGCAACAGGAAATGGGGATGCAGACACTATCCTATAATGTCTGTCTAAGGAAAAAACAGTCATGCAGAAACACCACGCACACACTCTCCCATATAGTCTGCACATAATCATCCCCAGGCTGTGAAAGGAACACATATTTCTGTCAACAATACATTTGCATTCAATGATGACATCATTGTTCAATTCGACCAGGAGCAATTTCTCTCACAAGGCAAGAAAGACTCAAAACAATTCAGATGAGAATAAAATTGACAGCACAGAAAAGTGTTGAAAAATAATACAATATACAAAAAAAACAAGTGGTAATATTGACAACTAACTCAAACTTTGTCTCCTCATTTCAGAAGTCCACCACAAGTCAATTATTCTACTGCCTTCAATATTTGAAATTTCTCAGCCTTTATTACATGGCAACCCATTAGGAGCATTTTTTCTGCAGTGATACATGTCTATCAATTTTAAAACATTCCCTTCATCTGGTCTCATTGCAAGGAAGTTTAAAGTCAAGACCACATCCTGTTGAAGTCCTGAGGCTCAATACCTTGTGTTATGCATTAATTCATTAGCCGTGAAGACAGGATCAAAAGCCCTGTGTGACTGTGTCTAATGCCTGCAGGAAAGATGAGTTCATTACAGAGAACTGAGCGTGTCCACTGATGCTGAAGAGGTGGCGCATCTACATTTCTCTCTTAATGAGCTGATAGGGGAAATATTTGCAACCTGGAAGTAAACCAAATTAGTCACACACACAGAGAAACATAAATCAGAATATCTATAAACTGTACACATGGTGTGCCAATGAGTGTATATTTCATTGTTTCCTACAATGTTTCCAACATTTTTATATATTTTTTTTAAATAGCACATAAACATCAAGTCGATGAGTTTCATTTTAGTTTAGTCCCCACTCTGATGGTTTCAGTGAGCAATAAGATTAAAGCTGATATCTTGCGAATCATATTAAACGACTCCTCAAAAGAACAGACTAATTTGTTCATGAATCAGACTATACTAGTAATACATGTTTGTTTTCAATGCAACCAGTGAAAACAGTAAAGCTCCATCTTTGTTATTTCTGAGTTCCACTCATTTTCTCACCATATTAAGGCTGCATACTATGGAAGCCTGTTTCTGCCTTGAGACAAAAAATTAATAAAAATAAAAAAGGTTATTGAAACTTTTTATCTCACAATTTAATTCTGAGAAGAAAAAAAATCAGAATTTCAAGATGTAAACTTTTTTCTGACAATTCTGATATTTGTTTTCGTAATTCTGAGTTTCCATCTTGCAATTCAGTTTTTCCCCCCACAGAATAAAAAATAAAAAAAGGTAATTCTGACTTTTTTTCCACAGTTGCGAAATAACATCATGCAAGTCTGACTTTTTGAGAGTTGAGAGTTTATATCTTGCAATTTTTCATATGAATTCAGAATTGTAAGAAAGAAGACTGAATTGTGGGATATAAACTTGAATTGCAAGAAAAACAGTTTGGATTTAGATAAAACGTTGCTATTACCTTTTTATATTCTTATTCAGTGGCAGAAACAAGCTTCCATAGCAAGTTTGTAGCCTATTATACAAGTCCTTTTTTTTTTTTTGCTGTGGACTGTGTACATTCAGCTGTGGAAGAACAGCTGTGTGAAAAACACTTGTGTATTTGGAAATAGATTTGTAAGTAAAACACACACACAGCACTAGCAACAAGTTCTATTGACAGACTCTATTGGTTCTTCTATAGTGTTAGCTTTTTTTGATGGATATAATTGGTTTGTGGGTAGCTGTTAAACTGCATTCATAACCTGCCAGTTACAGTTATGAGTAGGAGAATAAGTGAGAGCGTGAAATAGTTTGAAAGAGAATATAGATGGAGTATAAAAGTTAAATGAGTCACACTCAGCCATAAAACTTTGCCAAATACTGATTTTTCTAAGACTTTGCAGGGAAGCTCTCTTAACTCAATTAAAATTCTGAGCCTAAACGAAAAGCCTAAAGGTTAGAAAAAAAAATTAACTATTAACAAAGCATCCACACAGCCATATTTAATGCAATGCATTTAATTTAATCTGAATTAATTTGATTGCAATGCACTAAACTCTCATCTAGGCTCTCAACAAAATCTTGTTCTGGACATAATGCTGAATCAAAAGGCATTGTTTTTTTTAACTGAAGGTGGGCCTCCATTCCAATATTCCTGCTTAATATACATGCTGTCATATTAAGCATTGCAGGGCAAAAAAAAAAAAACATTGGACAGTGCTCTTGAGAAGCTTTTAAGGAGCTCATAGTTTGAGCAGTTTAGAACAAGCCATTACTAAATTGTATCCAAAAGGACAAAACCAGCTGATTTCTCTCCCTTGGTATTACTGAGACCATTATTAGTGTACAATATGAAAATAAAAAAAAAAGGTTAGAAGGTTTGGTTTTACAAAAAAACTGGAAAAGATCAGAGACCATGTGTCGATTGTAACATAAGAGAATTCCAACAGTGGTTTTACAATACTTGCCCTTTCTTTTATTTCCTCCTCCTTCATTGATGCGGTTTAATGAAATCTGCCACATTTAACTCTTTTCCCAATAAACACATAAACCAGTGTTTTTGACTGCACACACACCCACATCAAACGCAATACATTGGAAGTTTATCACCTCCTTCAGGGAAGCAGACAGCAGTTGACTGACTTATTTGTCATGCTCTGTCACATAAATAAGCTTTTGATAGCGATGGACTGACTGTGACCCGCCTCAACCAAACAACGTCACATACAAATGCACAATGATAAGTAATCACATGAAGTGTTCTGAATGGTTTGTCTTGAATCGGATAATGATCCGAACAGAATCACTGATTGAATAACATGCTTGCTGGCTGGAACTTACCACTGCAGTGGCCACATCAGCTCCGAGAGATGCCCAACTCAGTATCAGAGTCAGAACACCGCAGACCATCATCCTGCACACACACCATAAACAATGGAAAACAATTATGCTACTGTGTTTTTGGGTTGAAATGTGACCTTGTTTTCATGAGAACACAGTTTGTGCTTGTGTTTGTGTGAGAGAAATTTGGGTAGACAGTACCCAACCAAGCTTATTCCACTGATTTTGGCCCGTGAATCTTTATAAATGAAGGGTTTGTAGGCCTACCATATACACCATCACTGATCTCAATTTAGGATCTCTCTGAAAGCATAATCCCTTTACTTCGATTAGACTGCAGAACACTTCCAACAGTTCACTTTACACTGAACATGACAGCAAGTTTTCTTTGCTCAGAAATTCACTGTGCTACTAAATGACTCACTTTCTACTTTAGGAAATACTATGCAGTAAAATCCAGCTGATAAATTAAACAATTACTCACACCTAAACTATAGGTTTCCTTTGTAATTTGACATTTGAATGAGAACTGTAATGAAAAACATTCTGTCGTTTTCAGGTGTACAGCATTAAAGACAATCCTTTGAGAACAAGGAGAATATTTGAAGAAGGAGAGCATTTTATTTGCGGTTCTTTTCTCTTTGATCTGTCTCTTAATTAACTTCTTTCTATTCAATCTTATGTTGTAACATTTTAAAGGGGGTCATATCGTAAATGTTTTATTATTGTTTTTCCCTGAGTTTCTTCTTCTTCTTCTTTTTTTTTCTCTGACTGCAGTTTTTGCTTATTTTTAACAAATGTTCTTGAATAGTATGTTTTCAGAACATTCAATGAAACCTAGTACAATTAACTTGTATTTTCAAAAAATCAAGGCAATATGACCCCTTTAAAAATTTGAGGACTCTATGAAAGGCTACAAAACATCACTAAATCTTCAATTGTCTTTAATTCCAATATTCATCATCTCATGGTAACCCAATGTAATGTCACTCACGCAGTGAGCAGCCAGCGGGATTGTTTGGCCAGACCCAGACAAGCAGCAAGACAGATGACTAGATCCAAGATCAGTATCAGGAGGTACGTCAACCACCTTCAGAGGAAAGAAAAATCATCAGATGAAGACTTTTATAAGAGGTTAATAAACATTAAATGATGTGATTGGAGATGCTGGCGAGAATTCACACAATACATTGCCAAGTTTAGAAACTGTTAATCAAGATATGTGTGAAAAATAAACAGAGTAAGAAATGAGAGAGTGTTTGTGTACCCATCTAAAAGAAAAATGACAAACAAAATCTCTTTAAATTCTCAGCTGTTTCACATAGACCTGCTTCACAGATTTTCCTCTAGGGAAAAACAATCCCAGAAGCTTAAATTAATCTCCTCTATAGTTTTAGAAAATATCTTAACAGCATCTCAAACTGTTCTCAAATCTGACACAATACCAAGGGAAAAAAAAAAGAAACATTTATTTTATCAGAACTGATTCTCTAAAGACCAAGTTATTATCAGAGCTTTGCTATCCACATTCCTGTTATACTCATCTTTCATGTCAACAATTGTTCCATTTGTGTAATTTTTTATTTCTCCTCAGGAATTTTAGGTTGAATTTTTAGTTATATATTTAAGTAAAACATGACTGAGACTCTTCTGAGCTACAAAAGCGTAATCGCTAAGAGATAAAATCTTCTTGTTAGCGTGTGCGTTCTGCCAAGGCCACTCCAGAGAGCTCTTCGTCTCTGGAAATAATTCATAATAGATGAACAACTTCTATAGGTATTAATATTTCATACCCTGAAACCTTGTCAAGAGGGGAATAGATGAACGTGTCTCTTCCTATAAACTGCTCTCAGACACATGCACACCCATATTCACATTATCACTATCACGTCGGCTATATTAATATGCTTCCTATCAAAGATTAACCTTTCTGGCAACCTAAACTAACGAATTGTGAAATCAACGCTTATCATCCTGCCATCTGCAATGTGGAATGATGACAGGAATATAAATGCGGTACTGGCGGATGTTTTGATGGATGACCAGTGGTGAAGCTGCAGCAGTAAATAACATGTGATCTATAGTGTCTAACACAAGGAAATGGCTTTAAATGCAACTATAAAAGAGACTGTACACACATGCAGTCATGCATTAGCAGTTGATGGACAACTATGGTGCTTCACCCAACCACACTTAGACGAATATGTAAAGTCAAGGATGGAATATTTCATAACATTTTTGCCTGCTACAAAATAAGGGTAGAAAATAAAGCTGCAGTGCACAGAAAATCTATTGCAGGAGAGGTACATTATGGGAAAATTCAAGGTGGCAGCTCTCATCATTACCTGTAATACTCCACATGTGCTGTCTGATCAGCTATGGCGGCCAGGTCGACTTTCGCCTTTTCCCAGTCAGGAAGCCCAAGTAGCTGCTTAATGATGTTGTCTGACATCTGTTGCATGAACTGCAGTGTCTGCACAAAGTCTCCCCGTGCGGCAAAGATCTCGCCCAGTCGAGACAAGTGCTCGTTTAGGCCGCTCTGCATGCCTCCCACAGTACCAGTTACCTGTGCGAGAAAAACACTGTTAGTGCACACAGAAATACTGTTAGCGATGGGTTTATAATGACATAATCTACCATTAAAAAACTGGGCTCAGAAAGACTTCATTGGGAAAAAAAACTGATAGTTTTATTCAGCAAAGATGCATTATTTGGTCAAAGATGACAGTAATGATATTTAACAATTTCAAATAAATGCTGTTCTCCTGAACATTCTATTCATCATATAATCCCTAAATAAAGGTATCATGTTTAACAAATATAATAAGCAGCACAATTGTTTAAATGATAATAATAAGAAATGTTTCTTGAACACCAAATCAGCATATATTTCTGAAGGATCATGTGACACTGAAGACTGCAGTAATGGCTACTGAAAAGTCAACTTTGCAATCACCAATAAATTACATTTTAAAATAGATTCAAATAGAAAAGAGTTTAAACTGCAATAATATATCACAATATTAGTTTTTATTATAGTTATAATAATATAATTTTGTTATTAAATAAATGAATTCTTGGTGAGCAAAACAGATTTTCAAACCATTTCATATTGTGAACTTTTCAATTTTAAAAACATTAAGAACACATTTCTTAATAATCAATTTAAATTAAGTAATTGAAAAGCTTTTAGGGTTCACACTGTTAATTTAACGTCACTAAATCGGTTTATTTGGCTGACATGCACATTAAACACAGAATAAATATGAAAACAGAGATACATGATGTCCTTCGTAACATAACCTCTTATTCAATATCCTTTTCAAAAGGTACTAATATGCACACTTAGATACTAATATGTACTTTTAAGGCAGTAATATGCATCTTTTTTTTTGGTCCAAAAGGTCCAAAAGTGTACCTTTTGAAACGGAACTGATCTGATAACTTTAGTACTTTTTTTTTTTCCCTGAGAGTGTGCTTACCTATTTTAGCAATGGAAAAAAAAGCCAAATTATGTATGTGAGAAAGTACTGCATGTGCTCTAAAAAGAACTGTTTTCTGTGTGAACGGCCACAAAGATATAGTCGGTTTGTAACCAGATTTGTGTTCCCTCATCCTTTTTCATAGACCCACCCAAAGCTTAATTAAATAGAGCGTGTTGTCTTAGAAATTTTTTCTAAGATGAGATGAGGCCAGATGGGTGCATGCAATACAGCATATTTACACTTCAATAGAAGCTAAAAAAAGGCACATAATCAGGGGATTCCCAGTCAAATGCTCTACATCCTGAATTCAAATACTTCAATTCAATTCCCAGCAGTTTTCTTTGGGTTATGACATCACTACGAGAACAAAGTGATCTCATACCCAAAACGGTGAGAAACTCAATTCCTTATTGATTATCTAGTTTGACCGGACTCGTTTTTCATGAGATCTTTGATCTCACATCAGCACTGCACTTTCCTGAATCCTTTCATCTTTATGAAATAAAAGTCCTGATGTTTTTTGTTTGTTTTTTTTAAGTTCCGAGAGTGATTTTGAGGAACATTTTTGTATGTTTCTTGGGAATAGCAAAGTTTATTGTGTGGCCACAACTGTGAAAACCTCCTCAGTGGGGTTTAATATCTCAGCTGAACATAATCCAATAATCTAGCTAATGAACAAATGCTAGACATCTGAGCTGCATTTCTTAAGCCACAACTGTAATGCATATGAGGAAGTGGTTAAGATACGACACCGAGATTTTTCTCCCAGCGCTGTGGCTCTAATTGATTGTCTCTGGTTTCTGTAGGCACTGAGCTTCTGCAATTCAATTTGAATGGGAGAGTTGAAGCGTAAAATGGAACACAAGCACTAAGTGCTGATGCCTGCTCTATATCCAGATATGATTTTCTATTTCTCCATTAAAATTGTGAGTGTGGGGGGGGGGGGGGAGAATAAAAAAAAAA